TACTTTGGATCAAATAAATGCAGCCTTGGTGAGCAGAAGAGAATTCTAAAAAAAAAAAAAAAAAAACAATGAGAGAAAACCAACAAAAACTGACAACTAAACTTTAAATAAAAAACTAAATTAAAAGTCCAAAACTATAATAACTCTGGTGTGGTGCAGCAGAAATCGCAGTCTGCTTGTCAAAGTCATACTTGGTTAGGACACGGTTTAACCCAAACCCTAATCTACACTTGAAAGAAAACATTTAGCATTTTTAGTTATTTTTTTAATACTATTCTGGATCATTCTTTAACCCCTTTTCATGAGAAAACCCCCAGAGCAGCAGATGCGGTCAAACCCTCTACAGAAACAGCGAGATCAAAGATTTCCCGCTGTTTTCATCATCAAATGCAGCAGGGCCTCGTCTCTTAAGAGGATTGGTTGAAGTTCGGCAAATGCTGACAGATGCTGGGAGCGGTAAATGCAGAGAGTTGTGTATATCACAGTGATGCTTGTGCATAGCAAATACAGGATTGGATTCAGAATTCAGATGTGTTGACGGCCAATCCACACTAGTGTAATTCATGTTCACGTGTCAGACAAACCTTTGTGACAGCAATAGCGCAAGCATGTCCCCATATTTCAATCAGTTGCTGCTGCCCAAAGCGATAGTCCCTCAGGAGCTCCGTCTCAATGGTCGCCACCTCCATTTTACTATAAAAGACAGACAAAGAGACAAATTGCATTGACACAGAGCTCATGACATGCATGGTATTAGCTTACAAGTGGGGACGATAAATAAATCATGCATTATGTTTCGACATGAATGCTAACAAGTGCCAAGATGGAAACTGGGTGGGTTTGATTACATGGAAACCAAGGACTGCAATACAGCACCTGACGTTTATGTGTGTATTCTGAGCACATTGTATGAGACATGCCATCCATTCCAGGCATGGTGTCTCGCTGCCTAATGCCTGTTTAGCCACACTCAGAGCTTATGTTACTGAGAGTTTAATGTGGGCTACAGGGAGCACAACGTAACTGTAAAATACAGGCCCTTACTTCACGACTCAAACACGGGGAACCTTTCAATAACCTACTGTATGGTCGTAACATCAGAGCCCCCTGCTGGAAGTACAAAGAACTGCTATCAGGATGCTGATACTAAATTACAACCCTAATAACCCTAAGATTAATGTATTATGAATGAACATGAATTACTGAACAACAAAGTATATTGAAATTAATCTTGATATATATGTTATGCTAATAAATGCTGTAAAAACTCATTCCTCTGTGGTATATACATCCCTATACAGCAGCTTATTATTATATTTTCAACATAAGAAAGCTTATATATTCATAAGAAAGCTTATAGGCTGCTTATATTTTCAACATAACAAAGGTAATAAAGTGTTAGGGGACAAAACCAGCCCCAAAAAATTAATTGATTAAAAAACTTAAAATAGAAATATATCCTGGGCAACTAACTAAACTAAGTTGAATTACAAAAATAAAGCTATATAGAAATATAAAAAACTAATACAAATTACACAAGCACATAATAATAATAATAATAATATGACTAAAACTTTAAAATGAAAATGAAAAATAAAAAATAAAAGCTAATTCACGATATTAACAAATACTATAATAGTGCTGTAGTATAGAATAAGTTTAGCACAGTTTAATAGTACTATAATGTGTTTTAGATACCTTTCTTTCTTTTGTAACTTGTTGATTTTATTGTTGTTTTTCAGCCTGAGGCATTTTTCCAGTTTGTTTCCAAGACAACAGGTTTGCTTGTGTTGTGTTTGTTGTCTCTTATTGTTTTAGGCAGCAGAAGAACAGAACAAAGAACCATTTATGAAAATGATTAAACATTATTGAGTTCTCTCAACTATATGCATGAAGTTCCCTGCCTGAGTGCGGCATTTTTCATTTCAATTAAAGCAATTTTCTGTCACTATCTAGTTCTTGCTCTCGCTTCAGAAAAACTAATAATGAGTAATAATTTACTAACAAAAATTAATGAGCTTGTCGCCTACGCGGGCTGTATGTTTTTGACATTTAGATGGATAGATAGATAGATAGATGTTCTATAAGTCTGTTCTATATCAGTCATATTTTTGGCATTGGTCAACAGGTCAGGTCACCAAGCTTTTACTCGGCTCTGATCATTGCCGTAACCCTCAACAAGGGGTGCTCCAGCTTTCTGGCATTTACCGTCTCCAATAGAGCTCCACAGCCGTCAAGCCGAGTTTGCAGGAGGAGATTTCCTGGCGTACTGTGACACAGTGATATTTGTAAAGTTCAGCCGAGTCTAGCGCTTTTGATATTTCCGTTCCCATCAACCTATTCAGGGAACTCCTGACAGCCGTATATTTCCAAAGTTCTCCAAAAGGTTCCAGGCACAAGATAAAGTACAGACATCTCAAGCCTCATCCTTGTAAGGTTTCCAGTATGTAGAAATTGTTTTTGGCCTGCAAAGAAATCTTCCTTCACTTAATATCTCTCAAGCATTAAAAAATTTCAATGCATCCCTGAGTCTTCAGTTAGGCTTCTTTGTAGTAAACTGCAATGAATGAATCTCACCACCAGGGGACAGCGTGGCTCAGACTGTTCTCCTAGCATCCAGATCACCCAGCAGTCCAAATTGCATTATATTATTAGGTCTCTTAACCACAGAAGAACCATTTTTGGTTCCCCAAAGAATCTTTCCGTAAACAGTTCTTCATATTCTTTTCTTAGTGTGAAGAACATTTTAAAAATCTAAAGAGCTTTTTTTTTTAATAAAGAATCTTTTATGCAATGGACAGTTTCTAACACTTAAAATGTACTTTTTTTTGTACCATTTTTGGTTGCCCAATTCAGTGAATAGTTCTTAAAACCATTTTCTCTTAGTATGAAGAGCATTTTAACAATCTAATCTAAAGAATATTTTTCTACTTTAAAGAACCTTTTGTGCGATGGAAAGTTTCTACACTCTTAAAAATAAAGGTTCCAAAAGGAGGCTTCGCAACGACGCCACTGAAGAACCATTTTGGGTTCCCAAAAGAACCTTGGGTGAACAGTTCTTAAAAGAACGCTATGTTTCTTAGTGTGAGGAATATTTAAAAAATCTAAAGAGCCTTTTGTGAAATGGAAAGTTTCCATGGATGTTAAAGGTTCTTCATGGAACCATTGAACCAAAGACCCTTTATTTTTAAAACTGTATACTCACTGTATAAAATTAAGGGTCTAAAAGGGGGTTTTCACAAACAATGCCATAGAAGAACCATTTTTGGTTCCCCAAAGAAACTTTCAGTAAACGGTTCCATTTTTTCTTAGTCTGAAGAACATTTTAAAGGGGTCATATGATGCGATTTCATTTTTTCCTTTCTCTTTAGAGTGTTACAAGCTCTTGGTGCATAAAGAAGATCTGTAAAGTTGCAAAGACTAAAGTCTCAAATCCAAAGAGATATTCTTTATAAAAGTTAAGAGTTAGCCACACCTACCTAAAACGGCTCGTTCGAACACGCCCCCACATACCTACCTCACTATGTGGGAAGATTTGCATAAAGCCGCCCAAATGTTCACGCAAAGAAAGAAAGCATAACTTTTATTCTCGCTGTAGTATTGTTGACGCTGCAGCCATGTCGTGAAGACGCTGTGTGCTTCGTTGTGAAAGCGAAACCACTTTGTTTGGTCTTCCAAAAGAGGACGATATCCGCTTCGCCATGCCTAGAGCTGATCTGTGCTGGTCGCTGAGGAAATACATCAACTTAGTGCTGTGGATCACCGGATATGCTTTCACCGTTTTCACCGCTCCTTCGCCAGGACCGCCGTTCTCGACCCCGCCGCCTCAGCTCACTCTTGCCCGGCCTCAGCTCACGGTAAGCCGGGGCTTTCGCTCACGCTAGGCCGCTGTGTGCTTCAATAATGTACAGTATGTGGAAAATAATGTGTTTTTTTAACTTTAAACCGCATAAACACATTTCATTACACCAAATACACAAAATAATGTTCTTTTTAGCAGCATCATATGACCCCTTTAATAATCTATAGAACCTTTTTCCACTGTAAAGAAGCTTTACTGGAATGGAAAGGGATGTTAAAGGTTCTTCATGGAAACATCAATGCCAATAAAGAACCTTTATTTTTAAGAGTGCAAATCCGATTTGTAACAGAGGCCCTGAAAATGACAATAGGTTTGAGTTAGTATCTCCCCCAGCATTGCTATTCCATAGAGCTAGGGCTAATTGTTGCTGATCACCCCTTACAGCAAATACACACATGAATGCACAGTCAAATGAACAACAGTATCAGCCCAGGCACCCGCCCCGAGAGTCTTCCTAATTTCCCCACGAGGAGCCGCGCTATCTATGAGTCGCGAATTGTGCTGATCAGCTGTAATGACAACTCGGCTAAAGAGGTTGTTTACCTCCAGTCTGCTAGCTTGCTTTAACACGCAGGAGTGTTGAAATGGTTTTGCCTGATTGCAAGGGGATACACGGATGTTTGTGTTAGGCATAGGACAAAATGGGGGATACTTCTCAATATCCACATTTTTCCTCTTTTACTTCATTTCCAACCACTGTAATTACCTCAGCACACCACGAGACAACTAAATAACCACCTCTCTCATTTAAATCAGTGGTCTTGTTTTAGGGGACCAGCCGCTTCTGTCAAGAATCTGGTTTACAACCCAATATTCTCATGGACGATTTAACAAAGGAAATGAGTGGGTGAAAATGATATAAAAGAAAAAGAATGACAATGGAGAACAGGAGAGTACACTGCTATTTGCATAACTGCCAACGGCCCCTCCAGGCTCCAAATAATGTGATAGACGAAGGGGTTATACGGGGGGTGGATAGCCTTTTCGGCATGGCTGACATCTGCTAATTTATTCGGAACAAAATCATTTTCACACAGTGTCACATGCACTCTTTTAATGACAGATGATGAATATGTGCCCTGGTGTGAATGCTGCTATGAGCATTTGCTTGCAATTTAAAGTAACATTTGGAAAAAAAAAATAGAAAAATGATGTAAGGTGGCATTTCTGTCGGAATTATTTTTTTTAAATAAAACTAATAAATCACACATGAAACCTACTGTTACATTAATTATTTTATTGTTAAAATAAATGTAGAATTATATAAACACATAAAAAAGATTACTGACAATGCTATATGTAAAAAAATAATAAAACAAATAATATAATAAATAAAAGACAAATAAACAAATTATATATATATATATATATATATATAAAATGTAAAAGCTAGCTGTATTTCAGTTAACATTTATTTTATTTTATTTTTAGTTAACGATAACGGCACCGATTTTTGACATCTGAAAGTGACCAGCAGCATCTGTCATCGCAATTACAGAAAGACTCTTATAGCAATCTCAAGATTATAATCCTAAACAGCAAGTACAGAGGTTACTCAAACTGAAGTTTCAACTGATTCATGGAAAGGGAAGCGAAAAACAAGATCTAATGATGTTGAAAATCCAGGAGCTGAACTCTCGAGTTACTCTTAAAGCAATTAAAAACTTCTAAAAGGGGGCGATGCTCAAGCCCTTGCTGATTCCTCCCTAATGAGTGTCTCGACTTCCTGCTCGTTAATGACATAAAAGCCAGTCTGAGGCACTGGAGTGGAGAAATGGTCAGCAGGGACCAGCGGACAGCTCGCTCTGGGTGACGTCTACATAAGGGAAAG